AAGCGAAAGAAAGAAAAAAATATGACCGACTCCTATTCTAGGAAGAGAGCGATGCGAAAAAGTTGTTTGACAAGCGTATCCGGTAATAGAGCTCGGTGTAAGAATCGAGTCTGTCGATGACTCGTAGAGACGCGATCATAAATGATTTTCCTCGGTTATGGGAAATATCTTGCCTGTCTCATCAGTTTCGTATGTAAAACGTCAGATAACGACGAACTCGTAATAAAGAAGTTGACTAGTCAAGCAGCAAATTTAAAAATCGTGTCAATCGCGATAAAGCGGCGAGCTAGCTAGGTAGACGATGAAATTCAGCGAGTTTGCAAATACCGTTTTCTCAGATAGCTAAATGGGGTCAGGCCGAATGAGTAACGCGTTTCGAAAAACGTGTTTTACTGTTGTCATTTGAATATCGAATTCTATCTCGAAATAGCCGAACGAACGCGTTACGTCACGCTTTCTTTTGCCTGCTACATAGTTGATTCAACAGTATAGATATTTTAACTTAATTTTTCTCTTCAAGATCGATCGAAGGAAGAAATTGGGACGTAACCGGAAGTAGCCCGTATAATTGGTTCGCTGTCGACCACGCGTTGTCAAGCAGATCGTTAACTCGATGTTTACTCGTGTCGAAAGAAACTCGAAGAACCATCGTTCGATCGCGGAACATAAAAAAAGAGTAAAACGACTGTCGACATACTTGTTAAACAAAATCGTAAAAGAAACGGAAGCCGGTCTGAATCCAATTTCGCATCGTTTCTGCGAGATACAAACTATCCCCCCCGGTTACTTTTATGCTCCTTGGAGCCTAGCCAATTTCTCTGTTAGAAAGAACTTTATTTTCGTTAGCGTCTTCGTAGCGAGATGTTTTCTCTCTACCCTCAAAGTTACCGAACGCCGTAGCCTTTGCAAGCCTTTTTTTTCATCGGCCACTGTTTTTTTAAGTAATGCGGGAGGGAAATGAAGAATTAGAAAAAAAAAAAAAAAAGGATTTATCGCGAAGGTACGCGTCCAAATATTTGCACATCAGTTTGAAAAGCATTGGCGAAAGAGCGGCGTAGGATAAAACGATGCAATCGTTACGAGCAACAAGAACATCGACGATAAATCACTGGCCAAGACGACGATAAGACGGTTTGGCGGAGGCTGTGAATGCCGATCCAACTACGATAACGATACCCGTCGCGAGTCTAACGAAAAACGTCCCTCTAATGGTTCGACTATGACAGACGATTAAGCTGATGACGCATAGGATGGATGAAGAGAACAATCGATCGTTTCATCTTCTGCTTTGCTTTGCTTGGTACGAATCAATTATAGTTAACAGGTAGCGATAAGATCGACAATTAATAAGAGGCTTGGTAACGTCGTCGAGGGAAAACACGAATAGTCGTAGCTTAGCGAAGATCGTCGACAGGCGAGATTCAACGCTGTTGACGCGGGAGAATACTAAACGATTCTTGGATATGTCTGAGAATAATGATTGCATAGTAACTGTTTCGAATCGCTTGCAATGCAATGGCAAGTATCTCGATTCTAGTATCGTTTAAAATTAGTATGTTTAAAAGTTTTGGAATGTTGGCAATCCGCTTTCGTTCGGTGAGAAAACGAACGCGAACGCGAATTAATTTGCGAACGACCAGCTGCAGCTACCTTCGACGATTAAGCATCCCCTTGGTGTCCAGGCTCGATCGTTATTCATATCAATTAGTCCCGTGGGCGCGAATACGTTCGTAGAAGTTACAGCAGCGCATTATCAATGACGATCGTACCCGGTTGGTTCATGGTATCCCATGCTGAATGCCGTAGCGACTGTGGTGGCAGCAGACAGCCTGGCAGCAACGCGATCCCTTTCTCGGAACGCTGCAGCCGTCATTTGTATGGGGATCGCACGTTCACTTCCCCCGTACCTTCAGCATTTTTCTCCTTTACTTGTATCTCCTCGTCGCGTCGGTATCTCGCGTTCTTCAAAAAATACCGACAGAAAGTCAACAAATTTCTCGACGAGGAATTCATGTAAAATTAACTCGGCTGAAGCTTCAGCATCTTCGATAACCCGTTAACGTCGAGAGGTACAACATAAATTCGATCAACGGCAAACCGCCAAGAATAATCCAACAGGAGCGAGCCTGCTCGAGAGACAACGTTTTGGCAGAGGCGAGAGTCTCGAATAAAAGTAAAATGGCCGGCCTGGATGGACGCTTCCTCTTCGTTTTGGCATGAAATACGGCTCTCCGTATAAACGACGCCGCGTCTAACGCGAAAATACGTGACCCAGATTTCTATAATGCAAATGATAGGCTTGGTGGCAGACCTCTAATCGGACCACCGCTAGAACTTTCGGGTGGTCCGTCACTTCGCTTCGCTTCGCCTCGGTTCGATATTTAATAACAGGAGCTGCACCGAAAGTGCAGCGAGACTCCTTGCTGCTCGTCGAAGCTACCTTTAAGCCTGCTTTAAACATTTCTTCCCCCTTTTTTTTCACCAACAATTTCTACTTGGGTGGTTTACACCTTTAGAGATCGTTTGTTCGGAATAATTTGTAACAGCACCGTTGCGTTACTTTTCATCAAAGTAAACTCCTCAGGTTGTTAAGCGTATACCCGCGACGCGACGTGACTGTTTCCCTGAAAATCGTGTCGAGATGTCAACAGATCTTTTTATAGAGGAAAACGCGCGTCTAATATTTTACAGCGGCGAGAAAACAATGCACGATAATGCACTTAACGAGCGTGCTCGTTCTTGCACCCGGACGTCGTGCATATAAAACAGCTTGATCTCTGCTCGTGATCTCTGCACCGTTTCAATCGGCCTAAAAGAATTTTCCATTAAAACAGCCGCTTGCCGGTCGTAAACGTTTCATTGGCGCGAATCGGGTGTCGGAATTTCAGGAACAGATAGATACACTGGCTCCCAGAAGCGTTCGTTCAATTGATACACGCTGACAGTAATTCAATTATACTTTGAACCTTCCGATTAAATAATGAACGGAGGAAAATTTAATTACAGATCTTCTTTTATGTAATTTCCAAGAGAATAATAACATGTAGAAAAAAAAAAAAAAAAAAACAAAAAACAGTTTAACATGGCACGCGTTAGAAAATGAATATTTATAGTCGCGTGACGATAGTATTTCAGGAGAAATCGGAGCATCACGTATGTGTGACTCTGCTAAGAAATGTGATAACGGTGAGTAAATCGTGGAAACGGTGATACGCGTGCAAAATGTCGTTTGCTGGGTCGAAGCGTGACGAAACCGATTAATCATCGCTAACACAGCTGGAAACGAGTGTCTCGTACTTACTTACGGTCTAATTTAATCACTAGACGCAACACGATTTTTTTTTTCCGCCAATTTTCACGAGCTGGTCGATTGTTTGCTCGACGATCAGAATCAATACCGACCTCTGACACTGTGCCATCGTAAAAAATGCAAACGCTTGATTCTCCGAAATTGATTCATCGCTCGTTCCCGCTGTCGTTTATCGTCGCTTCTTTCTATTGAATTTAATTATTCTGGTACAGCAACCGGTATCTAATCGTACAGACACGTATACTTCTCGTATTTTCCCCTTGCGCGAACGTAACAAAGTTCGAACCAGACGAAGATTCCCTACGCTGCGCTGTTAGATTTCCGTAGATTTCGCCTCAATCGATTGATAAGGTGTGTAATAAAAAGTAGGCTACGTTGCTCGTATCTAAGAGGAAGATTCAAAGAAATCGTTTTTAATTTCCAAGTCTGACCTATCCCTGACCTGCTTCCTTGGAGAACGTTCGCGATAACGTTCGAACGTTATTAGTCCATTTGCAGCGATCCAAGATCAAAGAAAACCTCCTGACTGCAAACCCCTATATTTCATAAACCATGCACATTCGACTTCCTTTATCGAGTTAACATACGCGTGTAGTTGAACAATGATAAACTCGAGAAAATGATTGCACAACGAACGATACATCATTTTTCGAGTAATTGGCCGCATTGTAAACGCGTTGTATACCGGACAAGTTAATTCCAACCACCTTTTGTCCGCTCGCTGATAAATTATTTCATGCTTTAGCCCTAAGGGCAATCAGTACCCAGTGTATCTGATCAACCATGCTTGCAAACAGATAAGTGAAAACAGACCATTATTTCTACGCCTTTGAATCGTATCTATTCAATTATCCACTTGCTTCTATAGATGGTAACGTAATAAATTTGTACTCGAAGCTTGCACTTTTTTTGCGATGACGGCGCAATTGATCGCGCGCTATTTGGCAAATGGCAATGACAAAAGTCGCTTGTCCGAACCGGGGTAGCAGAGAAAAACGAAACGTTTCGCGAACAGAGCCCATCGTGGCGTGCATAAACTTGGTGGGTATTGACCAGAAGGATGTTTTTCTTGCTACGTAATCGTGAGGCAAAGTTTCGAGAAGCGAGCTCGAAGAAAAAGCAAGCCTGAATGGGATTGCGAGATGCAGCGTGAAATTAAAGGCATGCGAAAAAGAAACGGTTAGGGGTTTCGAGTGGTTCATCGACGAGAGGCTGCAAACTGCGAAGCAAAGCGTGAACCGAGCTTGCAGAAACTCTCCCCCATCGCGTCGCATCGCGTCGCGTCGCATCGCGTCGCGGGGATTGTTTCTATTAAGCGGCTCAACATCAAAAGATCCAGATGTTGCACGCTGCGATCAAGTAGGTCTCTGTTTTCTTTGCGCACGGCCAAGGTGGACCGCGGCCAGATGCAAATTCGCTTATTAACTTTATCTCGGGCAGAAAATCACGACCGAGCATGGACGGGGGAGTGTGTCGGCCACCCACGATACAGAATATAAAACGAGTAAATTTATGCGGCACTTGCTTCTTTGATCGCTACTTCTTTTTTCGCTTATTTTCGTTGCACAGCGAATTTCTTTTCGGTGAAATTTATTGAAAGTAGGAATAAATCACGGGGAGGCGTTGACCTGGTGTTCATGGGGTATTCAGAAATTCATCTAAATTCTTCTTTTTTTTTTTTTTTTTGTAGGATTACACGGAGGATGAAGACGAAGACGAAACTCCTCCAACGACCACCACCTCGACAACAACCACAACTACAACCACCACGACGACCACAACTACACCGAAACCTGTAGTTACGCAGAATTACGACTACAGAGATTCGAGAGGTCACGAGGGCGGAACTGGAGCCCAATATAATGGGTATCAATCAAAAACCGACTATCCACCGATGTCGGCTCACAGTGCGCACAAGTGGCAGACTCTGGGCACTCGAGAAAGCGTCAAAGAAACCAGAAGCAACATGCAGCAGTACAACAAAAACGGGAAGAGTAAGTTTAACTTTCAAGTAGTATGTTCTATCGGTGCAGATAATCAATACGCTTTCCTGTCTGTCGATTTATTCATGGCAAATATTCATGGGTCGCCTTCGAAACGGTGTGCACCTGTCGACGTTATTAAACGCTATTAAATCGACGATGGTGGTCCAACATCTCTCGTCAACGCGATCCTTTGCCGCCAAATTAAATTCTACAGATAAATATCGCGCAAAAAAGTGATCGAGTCGCTCGTTAATTAAGTACCCCTGAAAATTAATGGGGAAACTATAAATTGAAGGCTGTGTCGTTAATCGCCCGACCATGGGCTCGAATGCATCGTTTCTTCCTTTTAACGAACAATTAATAATCCGATATCCCATTCAACAAATAGGATAACGGGGAAGAATATTAATGTCAATTGACTTTGAATTTATGATAAATAAACTAGCATCGAGTCGGCGATTAAAGATAATCATTATTAATATAATCTCGATTTTATCAGTAAACAGGTAAAGATCACAATTTCTTCATTCTCTATTCGATACTTCAAACACCGTGATGATCTAACTAATCATCACAGCTAAATTTGACCGAGAAACTTGTCAATTCTGCTCGAAAGACTGACGAATAACCACTTGGCGATGGCAATTAATTATTTGTAGAAAGAAGTGTAATAAATCCAAGTTGTTAACCAGTTTGAAACGTTGTTCAGGGAAAAGCAAAGAAAAGGCGTTGCACCTTCTCGATAAATTGCGTAATCACCGTTTACATTTCGAACAGTTTACGAGACAGCTCTTCCTTTTCGATCGAGGAGAACGGAATGCTAAACGACCTATTAATATGCAAATTAATGGCGACGATTGCGGCAATTCTAACTGCCTTCTTGTATGAACTCTTACTGTCCTACACCAGACACGTAAGTAGCTGCACGCGTCTTATTCCACGTTAATTCGTATCGAGCCGGTTACTACGATTCAATCGATTTAGACACGCTTTCCATCGAAACTTGCATAATTCTATGATCCTACAAAGGGCTTGAAAGATCCTTCAAAGTGGGCTGGTTTCTTTGGTCGGCTGAGAAAAACAACGGAACGATCAAATCTAATCCCTTTCTCTTATAATACATTCCAGAATACGTTTGAATACGGGATGGATGGATGTTCATCGAGTCAGCATACTTCAACTTCCCTGACGGTCGTGCCTCCATTGTGAACGCGCCGATATAATCTCGTGTCAGTGCAGTCGTGGCAAGAGTAACGCCTACGTACCGAATTAGCATAGCAAGATCGTTGCTCGAGATTACCCGAGAAAATAATTCGAACCGCGAGAGAAGATTTCCCGAAACTCGTCCCTTCCATCTTCACCACGCGTCTTCAATTTATCGCCTCATCGAGAAATTGTTCCATGAATCAATCGTTTTTCGTTTTTCGTTTTTCGTTACGATTCGATCGCGAGAACGCGTTTCTTCATAAGGGTACGAGTGGTTGTTCCTCGAACAGCAACTTGGAGAACCTGCGATTTCAAGAACTACATAATCCGTGTATTATCTCCGAGTGGCCGGTAATCCTCTTTCTCTTTTGCCAATCAATCACCTGACGATGAGATGGATATCGGAGTAATCTTTTGGAATAATCTAGCACATTGTAATCCAGCAAACGAAGGTGGCAAACGTTGAAAATAAAATTCGAAGAAAAATTAGTTATTGTTCATCTACATATGATACCAGGATGGAAGGTAGATGGATTCCTGCTGGCATTTCGAGCGACGGCTGCCTGTGCTAAAATTTATTGATTTCCAGGTACACACAATGTGCAGTTTCTCCCGTAGTTGTCCATACAAATTGCATCGAGCGATAGCTGCAGCATAATTATCGACTGTCCGTGAAACGCGTAGAAAGCGATTAGGTATCTGACTGTGCGTTGAATCAATAGAAAGCTCGCATGATTTATGTCACCGTCTAGTGTTGAAGATTCATCTTCGACGGTCGGATCGAGTGGAGAATTATCAATTATCAACACGAATGTTACTTATTGAGAAAAATTTCTGATACTGTTTCAGCGGCTGAAATTCGAGAGGCTCTTCAGCACGCGATCAAGGTTTCCCGAGAGGGTAGCTGTCAATGGCCAAGGCCAAGGGTGATTCCAGTTCGCGATGTCTACCCGAGCCCATCGACCACCTACATTCCACACTGCGCGATTTTGCACAGGTGTTCGGACGACACCGGATGTTGTAGATCGGAAGCGCTCACCTGCGTGCCGAAACACTCGCACCGCGTCGAACTCTCCTTCTACGTGAGTAGAACTGATCTTTAAATAAAAGAAAATAAACCAAACCTGTTTCGACAGATTTATAAGGAATCGAATCAGCATCGATTACGAATGATAGATTACGAACACGACAATTTACGAGCGAAATTAACGTCAGAGTCGAATAAAGTTTGACCATCGCGAAACGGTCCGAGCTCGTTACAAGGTAGATAAATCGTGAAGAGAGAGGGAGGAGGTTGCGTGTTGCATCGGATGGATGCCACGAGGAAGACTTTATCGTCGAGGTGAAAGTACCATTAATCGTGTAAACTGTATTGCTAGGAATTTATTAGCGAGAAGTCAAAGAGTCGTGGCATTCCTGCATGATTTATGCGGCAAAGTATCGGCGATATCAAACCGCGGATCTTGTGCGATTTCAAACATTGTCCATGTAGAAGGTGGACACGCAATGGTTAACGATCCTTTATCGAATTCGACGAGCACGTTTAAAACACGCCTATCTAATGCGAACCGGGAAGCAAAGAGGGCTAAATTTTCTGGGTTTTCAGAACCGTCTATTAGTGTGTCATGGAAAACGAGTACATACCTAGTCCACGCGTTCTCTGGAATGTCGATGGAATTAATTTTTCCTTGTCTCTGGTTAACTTACACGACCACGGCTGGTATGATCGAGTATATCTCGCTACGCAGCAAGAAACCGCAGCCGGCAACGATTGCTTTTTTTCCATCTCTTCGTACATTTACATTTACATTTACATTTACATTTCTTCTAATTACCGTACTTCAGTTTAACCAGTCAAACTACTTTGTACATTTGGATAGATGTTCAGGATAGTACAAGCGGAGAAAGGCGGTAGTGTGACTGATCCCTCTAGCGTGAGGAATATGCAGACCATAATTGGACAGAGACGACACGCGCCTTCTTCCATGGTGGTCCAGCCTATCCCTCGCGTCTACATTTATGCACGAAATCAATCCTCAGGAAGATGATTACTTCTCCTACCCATCTATTACGCTTGATTGCCGATTCGTGAGCTTAACGTCTCCTCGCAAGTTTGCTCTTACATCGTTGCAAATATGAAACTCGTTTATCAAAAATCCAAAACTTAATAAAGTGGCACGCGTTCATTTCTCTATGAAATAGCCAACCAGCAATTTGTTGATATAAATAATTTTCTTCCTACTTTTTTCAAACAATACTTGTTTACGTTTGATGGATTCACGTAAAACATTTCACTGCTGTCTAACTAGTTTGCAGCCCTATTATCTCGAGGTAATAGACGCGTAGATATCCATAGAATTGCTCGTTGCATTTACCGTAACTCGAAGGTTGTATTTCTCGTGGAGGAATAAACGAGCGGACCGGTCGATTAGCGGCTAATGGCATTTCATCGAAAGTGGCTGTCTGTCACCGGTGAACGAGGACGTCTCGACGATTTTTGCAACGTATTACGCAAAATTACGTAGGAAAAACCATGACCTGCAAAAAAACACTACAGGAGTGCAATACGTGTGAAAAGGTAATTAATTCGTTTTTTGCGGCTAAGCTTCGAGAATGCTTGCTCGATTTAACCAGCACATTTTCTAACCGTATTATTTTCTAATTCTCAGACAGTTATTCTGTTAATGACAAGTAGTTCAATCCTCAAATGGGACTTATGCTAATGAGGAAATTAATCGCGCTACTGGTTCGAGACGAAATACCGTGGAAAATCGTGAGATAGGAGAAAGATCAGGAGCACGTTTGATCCATTGCTTTCGAACCGGCTCAATTAAGAGATATCCTCGCGAGACCTTTCCGTTTCAACGAATCAGAGTTCGCGAGCTGACCAGCCGCAACGAGATAGCCATAAATTTTCAGCGACCAACGTTCCGTTCGAATCCAGTCGTTAAACTTCTCGAGTGATCTTAATGAATCAATTAATCCTGATGGATCTATCGCATTCCTACTGGATGCGATCCACATAGACCGGATTGGATTGAACTACATTCCTAGACGGCGTAACGAGCCATCTACACGAATCGAATCGTTCCCTTTGCCCATTTTCTTTTTCTCTTGCGTCGACGAATCGTCGAACGTTTAGAAATTCGCGAAAGAACAGAAAAATCAGCCTGATATAAATCGCAATAAACCGGCTGTTACACCAAACGGGTGTAATTTGCATTTACCCGCAATTACCAGTTTCGGCTTTACCGCGGTGCATTAGCATAAGTTCTTGTTCGGTCTTGTGGGAATCTCTTAGCGGACCGCGAGTCCGCTAACTTCATCAAGTATTTCATCTTTACGAAATACGACGGAAAATGATAAATACGACGACTTAGAGAAGTAGAAATCATGTCGCTTCGAGAGACAATGACTTAAATTTGTATTCGTCGTGGTCGAGTTTCGCGCAGTAGATACTTATGTATGTAGGTCCAGCTCGCGTATTTCTGTCCCCGTACAGACGGGCCTCGCGAAGCTTTAACGTTTCGACGTGATAAACGAGCAAAGCGGCTATTTCGTAACTTGCCAGCCACGTAATCTTCCAGTATGTCTCCGGCGCGACGAAACACACGTCAAACGTCGAAGAGAAGAGCGGGCCAAGAAGCAAACAATCGCATAATTGGACGAATTCAAACTTTCCTGTCTAACACGTACGAGTATATACATATAATATCTATGTATGTACATATGTATAATGGAGGCGATCGCGTGCTCGTTGGAACGCGAGAGGCATTTCGTAAAACGCGAAAACGTTTAATTGCGCGTCGAAGAAACTGGTAGGTTACTTTCTAAAGCGTACTTAATCTTGACAAAGGATCGCTCGATATATCGTTCGATCGTGTACACCCACGCGAAGCACATGGCCAATCAACGGCGAACACCGATTGTGATAAATGGACGGGTCCATTGAGGGTCACTATGGAGAGAGAGAGCTATAAATTTCATAGGATACATTGAACTTTTTTTTTTTTTTTGCACCATGCAACTCGAGTAATACTGTCTCTACCCGCGATCCTGCTTACACGAATCCTATTAAGCCATTATATCTTATTATACTTATAGCCATTATACTCTGTACCTAATAAAAAAACTCGTTCTTTCTGCCTTCAAGGATCAAAGCCATACCTTATCTAAATCTGATCGCAATTAAACGTTAATTGTGAAAAGAAAGGAAATACCGCAAATTTCACTTTCTAATATAAAACAGTTAATGAGACGTTTAGGAAGTCTTGTCTAACCACGAAATCTGAAGTCATGAAGCTCGTTAAAGCCCCTCCTGAAAGAACACAAAGACCGGCCCTCTCTCGCTTCTCGAACGAAAAAAGGAGCCCTTTCTTTGCTAAGAACTCTTTGAAACGAGTTTCCGTCGAGACGACGCGCTCCAGTTACCCTCTATAATTATCCCGAGCAACCCTTTGGTGCTACCTGTCGACTGAGATGGACCCACCCGATCTGTTCGTGAAAAACCATCGCCGGATGACTTTTCCGCTTTTCCGGCCGCGAATGAGTCAGCCCCCTGACAAGTCGAGCTCGGAGCCCAAGTTGGACGCGTATCAAATTCGTTTGCTGTACGCGGATATACAAGTTCGTTTGTCGCATCAGCAAGTGCAACGTGAAACACAAACTTAACCAATGTATTAATACCAGAGGCTTCCGTGATACAGAAATAAATACATACGGGGCTTCCTTTATGCTTCCTCCATAGATCCCCGTTCCTGGGTTAACAACGTCTGTCGATCGTTAAGACACCCTGTCTTCATCGCGAAAACGCGTCGAAACGCATGTATTATAGATGATACCGTTCCAAGAATCCCTAACGAGAGTTAAAAGCGAACAAGTCCTTTCTATTGGTTCACTATTTATGCCCGGCTACCATTAGAGCTATCGGGCAAGCTCTAAAAGCGACACCATAATCTCCGCTCGTAATTTGGGCGACTGCCGAAGCACCAAAGTACCTATTCACGACCTTTGCTATCACATTTTCTTAGCGAAGAATGGTTGCTCTATTTCTATATGTATTTCGACATCCAGGAATTTATTAGACACAAGGCAGAAGTGCAATTAGAGGTTTTGCCAACTACTGTAATGTGGACCAATGAGGATGAAATCTTCTTGGGTATTGTTTTATGTTGTCAAGTAGGAGGGAATAGAATTGATATTTGTTCGGCAAGGCTTGAAAAGGATTCGAGAATAACCTGTCGCGGAATGTGGTAGATCGCAATCGCGAGGGCAAGGTCCGGTTATCGTTTTTAATGGTTTTCTCGAGTTGCCAGCCGGCTCGCTACCAGAAAATGACCGGGCCACCTCGTTGTTTCTGGGTAGTTGGAAGGACCCCACGCAAGATTAACGATCTTCGTCCAAGCAGACATGCCAGTCAGTTTAATGGGACACCGACGTGGCTCTTATTTCAGAATTACACCTGACCGAGCGAGCAGCATTCTGACAGGTGGCGGTGAAAAAATGCCGCCCCATCCTGTCTTCTTATCGCGTAAGCCTCTTAGAGGAGAATCTCGAAGCTCGGGTCAAAGGAAATGCGTTTGAGCCGGAGGAAATGAACGGCGCGGCGGCGCCTCGGGCACTTGGGTGTCGCACGATTAGGCTGCTTATGGGATCACGAGTTTCTCTGATTGCGAGGAAGATTTTCAAGACTACTCTCCAAGTAGAACGGGAGGAATATACATAGCAGAGCAAGGCTGCAGGAGGAAGTTAGCAAAGTCACGACTTCCTTTTCCGTCAGGCCTCGCCTACTGGTGTGCTGACCCCGTGGGGTCAGACTGTCAGATATCGATAGTCGAGCCTCGTACACGGCAGACATGCCCTCACATGCTAAGCACCGTGTTCTTTCTATTTTCGTTTGAATGGCGGTAGATAGATAGGTAGGCGATGGTGTACATACGAGTACATACACGTTTGCTGTGTCTCGACAGCTTCGTACGTGCGTGTAACTCGCTCCTATACGTCTAGCTCGTTTCGTTGTCGTCGCGTTTCACCAACCAGTCCAATGGCTTCGATCCCATCAGATACGCTCCTTTTACGCCAGTCAATGAAAACTGCGGACCGTAGTTACGTGCCTTCGATAACTTACGATCAAGGATACTCGAATGCGTTGACTCGGTAATCGAGTTGGCTGGCACGAGCTTTCAGTGTCAACTTCAACGACCATTCGCTAATAATCTGATGATCCTCGAGCGGGAATTGCGCGAAATGGTCTATCGAAAGATTTATAGCGATACCTTCTTAAGTGGCGGAAATAGCGAGACCGGTATAGCTACGTAACGCGCGTAATTAACGTTGTAATTTAAGTAGGCTTATACCGATGATGTGAGAAAGATAAAAATTTCATTTGTCGCGATTTCATGACTCATTAGCAACTGAATCATCGTTGGTCGTAAATTAGGTTAAAGTATGTCTCGCGTGAGCATTTCCAAGAAACTATAGTCACCAACAAAGAAGATTATTGGACTTTCATGCCACATATTTTTCTCGGTGGATATTCGAAATTAACGAATGAAATGATCGTTTGAGAAAAAGGAAAATCAAAGAGAATATCGAGTATAAGCAGGTTCGCCTTATCCAAGCGTGTATCTAATCGTGAACGATGCTCTCTGTTTCCGCGAAGTAACACCAGTTGCAAGAAAAGGAATAGCCGTAAGTGACACGGCTGGATACGATTACATCGTTTGAACCTTTCGTGGAGACAAGATAAATTATCTGTACGTAGATTCACGGGATCCCTTCAATCCCGAATTCCGATTCCCGAGTCTCATCTGATCGCGACGGTCTTTGGCTTGAAATTATATTACACGCTGTTATAACTGTACGGTTAATGAGCGTCCGCTGGCAGTCGCGTGAAATTTCAAGCGACAACCAGTCACCAGGAATTATCGCTCGTTTTCTGTGTCGCATGCAAAACCTTTTCCTTTTTTTTTCCGCTTCTTCTCGCGCTGCCTTTCGTAATAGAAGCTCGTGCGAAGCGGATTAGCATAAGAGCCCGCCGCGTCGGACGATGCAATTTATTTACAGCTCGTGCTGCGTCGTCGACTGATCGTCGTTTAAAGGAGAAATAGGGAAACCATTTCTATCCGTTTACGTTTCTTGTCACGAAATTTTCGCGATAAGTGGATTAAATTTCGTTCCATTTGCGTGTAAATAGATAGGGAGGTATCTCAAGCAAAAAGGAGACAGGATACGGTAGAACGGTTGCCAGCAGCTTCCGTTATGGGATTTTACGAGTAATATCTCACGAGTAAGCGAACCGTGCTTCGGCTTGACGTTTATCTTTCGACGTAAAAAGTAATTACTTTCTGTGTGGAATGTAAGGTGGCTGGTCAAGAGAAATTTCAATATTGCTCAATTGAAGCGTCTATTAATCTTAGCCCCCCTTCGCAAACGCCAAGTTTACAGCGATAAATTTCGATTAAGACTTACGAATCTTGGTTAGTTTTTATTACAGTAACAAAAATTGGAAAGATCGATCTCTTTGCATAGAAATTCCTATTCTTAGGAGTCGAAGATAGCTTATCTTGTGTACGCTTTGGTCTCACTTACCTGCGCATGGGTGAATCGGCAGCTAGTCTCAGCCTCTCTGGAACTTCGTTATCGAACCCAGCAGAAAAACCAACTGATTGTCTCTTGTAATCTCTTCGCGTACATCCCGTCTCGGACATCCGACTGTTGCTCGACCACCTGCACAGATTCAACATCCTATGTAGGTACTGTTGTAGCTCGTAATTTACCGTCAGATTCTTGCCTACCAGTGGTTCTCATCGTATACTCGCGAAGAAAAGACATGAAATTTCGTACGAATATTCGTGAAGGAAGGAAAAAGTGAGTTAATACAAGGATATCCAGTGAAATCCCATCGCATGATAAATCGGCCAGTCGCAAATAAACGAGGTGGATCGTCGGCAGCCGCATAGAAATTCTTCGAACGCGACACACCGTCTAAATTTGCCAGCAGACGTTCGTCCGCGACGGACGTTTTATGAATAAACCATAATGAACGTGTCCCGGTGACTGGACAACTACATACATACGAGAATCGTTTGACGCGCGAAATTACCATTCTCTCGTAATCCTTATCCGATTCGATTACTATTTCTATTATTTAATCGTGCGTCAATGGACCGTCGCGTCGTCGTCGTAAACCTTGACTTGTTTCACCAACGTTGCAGCACTCGAGAAACGCGATCGCGTCTGTTCGACCCAAAAATCAGAATGCATGCAAAGGCCTGAAACAGTACTAGACCCGCGAATCTGCATACAATGAGCAAGCAAGAAAAGCAAGAGCCGTTTCTTGTCCTCGTGAAAAGATGCGAAAGCAATAATGTAAGAGCGGCACGAGACGATCAATTTTCGAACGGTTTCGAACGAACTATCCCGACGATCGTTCGTCATCGTTTCTTCTCCGGGGATCAGTTGAACGGCTCGAAACAGAAAATGCGCAGGGTTCTATTTTGTAGAGACAATGACTATTCAGCAACCGTTGCAACGCTTGAAAAAAAATCAAACGCGAGAATGAAGACGATAATTACGCTGCTCGAGCGTCCATTGGTAAAATCTATTTTACGAGCGTAAAGGAAGATGAAGAATGGAAGGTTTTAACGCGTTAACTCATCGTGGGACATCTAATAGTGCAATGGTGCATTGGTGGATGTAACCCCGGCTAACCTTCGCTTAAGGCTTCGCCTCACGTTAAGGCGCGGCGCGGTGGACGTTCGTTAAGGCTTGATTATTCCCCGAGTTAAGTTAGCTAGGAGCGCGAGCAGCCGGGACAATATTCAAGCTGACACAGCGGTGAACGTTCTACGTGCCGGCAGCATTCTGCGGCCTCAACCTACCAGCTCTCTTCCGCTCCTATTCTCCAACTCTAACTGCTGTTTAGAATGATAATTCTCACCGGTGGACGGACGGCACGAATCGTTTAACCAGCTTCCACGTTGTTGCGATCAAAGTGCTCGTAAATGCTAAAGAATGAGATGAATTAATTGAAGAAGAAGAATGGAATTAGCAAGATCGGTAACGAGCAGCGGGTTTGAAATAGCACGCTAGAGGTTAACAATGCAAAGAAGCTCGACCACGCGAGAAACCGCAGTCGAAAACCGCAGAAGGTGGAAGTTTCGAGGCAACGACTCACGTAAGATCGCGTGCACGGCAGTCTTCAGCTTCTTCCAACTAGGATTAGTCGGCTTCCGTGCACGACTTCTGCTTCGATTTAACGCCTGCTGCACGAGAGGAAGTTCCTCGTTCATGATGTAACAGCTTCGTTTCGCATTCAGCGTTTCAACCTTTCTCGTTACTCAACACGACCCCATAGAACATGTTGCATAGTTCGAAGAATTAGATCCGAGATAGGTAATTATTTCATGACCAAGTATCCGACAGGTTGTCATAATTATTCAATTAATGGACCAGGCCGGAAGGGATTTCTAATTCGACCCATACTAATACCGCTTTACATTTCGATAGACTAATTAGACACCTGTCTACCCTCTATCTGTCTGCTGGCTCAATTAGAACTTCGTTTCTAAACTAATTACCTGGCGAAATAGACGCTTCTCTTAACAGATTCAGTCTACTATAGAGGTGACATCCATTCTGCGATTTTAAACAGCGTGGGTGTCCTGTAGCTCTCTGATGCTACCCGACTCATCGACAATCATCGAGAAGAGCTGGAACCGATAACCTCCGGATTAAGGAATGTCGATTTGAAAGTCAATCGACGTGCCCGTCGTGTGACCAGTTTTTGCGAAAAGGAAAGAGAACTTACGAATGGAAGGGGGCGAATGGAATCGAGTAGCTACGATCGATCTCTCGCGTGTCCACCACGATTTGTCAGCGACGCGAGAGGCACGGACCATTCGAATTTTAAATTCCATCAAACATTTCTTGATCTCACGCTGCAACGTTAGTCTTTTGAGAGAGTTAAACACGGCTGGTTCGAAAGTTGCGACCATATTACAAACTTACAAGCTCTATTATCATCCGTTTATCTCGAATGCAGCACACGCGTTGCCGCTCGTAAACTGTACACCGAACCGTGTATTTACACGGAGGCAATCTCATTAATTCTCTTGGAACGGATCGGTAGCCAACAGCGAACTTCCAAGCCTTCGAGCAACCAAATAGAAGGATAAATTTCAGCTAATACCAGCCTGATAATGTACCTTCGATATCCACGGATCCACTTTTGCGATTACTCCGTAAATTGATTACCGTGCCTCCGGTTCGGTCGTACGGCCCAATACTCGAACTCCAACAGACGATAAATCGATTTTGGTGCGAGTAGACTGTTGGAGCGTGGAGTTCTCACAAGTAAGTTTCGAGTCTCGATAAAGTCGTTCAACCGTGTTCGCGTCTATTATTTCCGCGAGAGATTGAGAGAGCCCGCGTGACAGGAACATATGTTTACGCGAACGGCAGAGATAATCAGGAGCGTGATAAGGGTTCGGCGGTACGAGTGTTCTTGCTAATCGAAACGTTTTTTCTCGCTTTCCGCGACCAGGTAAACTTGTCGCAAAAAATAAAAAAAACGAGTCATCAAGGATTTCTTAAAGGTCGATTCGAGGACGCGAAAGTCGTTCCATCGAGAAGACAGAGCCGGTAGTCGATTTATAATCATCGCCACACCCTGTGCTTCCCTTTTTTCTTCTCTTCCACGACGATCCTCTACGCCCGAGTGCATTTTATTCAGCTAATCACGAATCATCGCGTTCCTCTCCGCGGAATTTCGATTGATCAGACGCATTTTACGTAACGCATCGCGTCAATTATAAGATGGACGTTGATTATCCACGGAGATCGATCGCGAAGAGGCGCGAACGCGCCTTGATCCACTTTGTCCGGTGAAAAATCATCGTCAGCCGAGATATCTCTGTTAACTGGACTGATTTATCGGTTCGAAGTCAGGTCGAATTGCGCAAGCAACATGCATAATGCATAGCTACGGGTATTGTAGTGAATCAATTAAAGGGATCGCTACCCGGTGTCTGTACATTGTAGAAAATTCATTTTTCTCGCCTTTCGGCTTTTCAGCCACTCACAGTTGTCAGTTTGATGACGACGACGACTTTTCAGTTAATAATGAAACTTCGAACGTCTTTACCAGGTATATGTTATCACGACGGGTGAGCTGGATGTCTCGTAACAAAGAACTTATTCAGTCGGTTCGATAGGTACCTAATAGAAATTCATGAGGTCGCGGCCGAAGAAGCAAATTAATATCGCAAAGGGGATAAAAAGATAAATGAAATTTTTAATTGGACAGTGTCGAAAGACACGGTGGAAAAATAAAAAAATAAAAGAAGTACGAAACACGGGTCGAGGCGAGTGAATGAAGAAGAGGAAAAAAGAAAAGAGATGGTGGACGCGTGCAGCTCGAGTCTGGCAGCCGGTTTCAAGAGAATACCAAACCAAATCCAACTACTGTTTCGCCAAATTTCGATTTTTCTCCTTTAGTGCCATTAGGATTGATGAAATTGGGACTTGAAACTTTTTCCCCTATACTGTATATGTACCAAGAATTTGTCCGGAAGGTCGGCGAAAGATCGGAGCTTTGAAAATCTGCCAGATACACGTGCACGCGGTCTAACTTTAGTATAACTGTAGCTATTCTCACAAAGGGTTGTCGTCGTTGCGATGCGATGCGATGCGACACAGATTTTGCTCGCGATACGACGGAAGAAGCGTTGTACCGGAAACGGGAATGTTGGAGAACGATAAATCTGCGGCGAAACGGCTTTCGTCGAGAATGGAAAGAGCAGGGAAGCCGATCGCTTCGACGATTTGCCACGCGAGGAGAAGCAACGAAACGGAACAAACGTATAAATCGGGCTTCATCGAGATTTCGCCGGTCGTGTAACGACGAATCGGCTCGGTGAACGTAACAGGCCATCGAAGAGGATCTAATTACAGGGCTTCGCTTCCTGCCGTAATTAATCGCTACGACCCGCAAGATTTATACACTCCTCCTCTACGTTCCTCTTCCCGTTTTCCATTCTCCGGCCACTGTTTGTCTTTTAACCGGCCTCCAATCGATTTCTCCCGCGGGATAAGATCGTTTTAACGTTCTCAACACTCGAATTATCCGCAATTACTGGCCGCGTCGTTAATTAACAATAATTTTCTGGTGGTATGCTGGTACTCCTAACAGACGGTGGTAAACTCGTGCAATATAATTTCTTTTTTTCTCTCTTTTGTGTTTCCAACGAACGATATAATTGAAAAATTTCCATCGAAGAATGATATAACTTTAGAAATACCAAATTCAACAGTTGAATCAACACGTTGACGGTGTTTGTACATATGGGTAAACACATTCCTTGCTACCTAAGGAGTGAAATACAGAATGGAAGCGTGAACAGCTACTAAAAAACTGACAATGAAGCGAAAGCCTTGAGGTACCTTGTAATCGTCAGTCGTTGAACTCGTGTCAACAGGTGTTATCAGGTGTGCTGATAAAAACACACGACATTCCGCTTAAAAAGAAAAAAAGCACACAATTGATCTTAATATCTCACTACAGATTGCTTTCTAAATAAAAGCACACATACGATATGTGTGTTCTTATGACATGGTCTAATTAGGAAAGAAAAATATTGAAACCCTTCTATAGTTTGAGATATCCTGTTGATAACGAGAAAGAGAGAGAGAGAGAGATTGGAAATAACTTATTGGCGGGAAGATAAATGAAAGAGTAAGAAGAATATTGCAGGGAGGAAAATGGTGATGAAACCACTTTCCTTGGTCGTTGTCTTCGAAATGCATTCTCGAGTCCGAAGATATTCCGTGAGTCAGCTCGAGGCGACGCGACGTTAAAGTTGGTTCGCGCGCGCCGTGGGACGCCGCGGGACGCCGAGGGACGCCGAGTGCAAAGATCCGTCGGTGCCTCTTGGAAAATAGTACAGCAGAACGTGTAACTACCTCGGAGCCCTACAGTTTCTAAGTAACCTTCGAGTGTCCGGAAAGTGAACACCATCTGCCGGAGGGCGTTGCTTCAACGACTTCGTGCAGGCTATCGTGATTAGCTCGTAGAAATGGCAAAGATACTGAACCAACCATCTTGGAATAAATTCACATCGCATACGAATGCATCAGATAAGATCGATGCATTTAACGCGATCTATCGAGTTCCCGAGTCAAGGAAACGGGTCATGAACGTCGCGAATCGTAGCAGGCGTAT